TATCCCATTAGAGTTTATAACTACGTTTCAAGGGGGTGAGTGTAATTATTGATATCATAGAGACCTTAAAGTTATTTAAGCATACCTCAGGGTTGTGGGTGTAATTTACCCTTTAATGAAATAATTAAGAATATAGTCACTGCTTATTTTTCATGGGCTGCAGACAATAATGAATGCTGACAACGGTTTTAACTAGTGAAGAACTTGTTGATGCGGTAGAGCAAAAGCTAATTTTCGTACTTAATTTAAATACTAAACTTGCTAAATGGCAAAATTAAATTAATTTAATTAGAAAGATTATTGCTTCGTGATCTTCCCTTCTCAAAATGCTTTACACAGCTAAAATGAAACTACACACACACACACACACACATATATATATATATATAAATTAATTAATACAACTTAATGTTGTATTAATTTTGATTCCATATATATAAAACATACAAGAGGGCTCAGTGTTGCAAAAACAAATTACTTTTCACCATTGTAAGAATAGCTGTTCTTTTTGAAGATATATTTTCAATAGGGTTTGATTGAGGATATTCCTCCTCTCTCTAGTATCCAAAATCAAAAGATGGGGCTGAAATATCTCCACAAATGCTTCCTTCATCTTTCTCTACTTCACCGCTATTAGCCTTACAATTATTACTTTGGTTAGCATTTTCTCTCTCAAACCCCCTAAAGTTTTGCAAGTACCTTAGCATTGCCTCTGAATAGTTGTCGAATCCAAGTGAACTCAGAGCCCAACATATGTCGTCTCCATTCACCGTCTTGCGGTTCTCTTTATGACATCGATCGGATGCTTCGCCGGTCACAAAACATATGAACTCCGATGCACATTGTTGCATTCTCTCTTTTGCTTCTCTTGAAACCTTTGCACTCGGTGGGAGGATCTTCTTCATCATCCGCCCTACGTTGGCTATTGGGAGCATTTTTTCATGCTCGTCACTCATTTTCAGACTAGAGATCTGAGAAAATATTTTTACGATTTTTTCGTTTTATTGACAAGATGAAATGTCACTTTTTCGTATTATATTAATTAATCTCTTATACTGATCTAGGCATGTTCGTGGAGATCACGCAGTATACACTTCGTGTGTGATAAGTATGAACGATCTATATTATTTTATCAGTATCTCGCAGCTGCACTTACAGAGTCTATTAAAATATTTATTTAATTCTATAGTAGTGGGATGGTCTCATATAGGCATAACTTGGGTATTACTAAAAGTACTCTTTTTGTTAGTACATCAACATATAAATATGTGCAGCTAGAGCATCTTAAGTAAGTCTTAACCTAAAAAAGATTAAAGCTTATTGCAAAAACATGAAACTTACCAAAAAATACACATACCACAAGTTGTATTAATTATTTTAACTGAATTAAATAACCATATCTAGATAAAATTATCATCTTATTTTTGGGAAAGTAAAAGCTCTTGACGAATGAAAACCCTAGAAAGAAGTTGAAGTTGATAATGGTGTAGTTGGTCCCCTCATGTAATCTCAAATCTCTAATACTCCCACCAATGTCTTTATCATATAATATTGGTTGTAAAGTTTGAAAATGAATGGACTGCGTTGATGCACGTTTGTTTCTTATTAATTAAACTACAAACACCGGTTTAATTTTGGCTTAATCCCACTTTATACCCTTTTAGGCCTTGTTTGGTTGCTAAGATGAGATTAAATTATCTAATGAAACTCAATTATATTATTGGACATTGGAAGGTCCAATAAAAAAACATACCGAAAAGGTAAGATACGTCGTGATTACATAATATTTGCGGGTCGACCCGATAAGTTATTAGGGATTCCATACATCAAACAAAGTCCTATTAATTATTTAGTTAATAATGGCTAATCTCCCCAACCAAACGAGGCCTTAAATTATAGATTTTTGATACTTTCACCCTCGAAGAAAATTAATTTCACTTTACACTTCCGAAACACAATAACTCATTCACAATGCATCTCAGAGGAATTTATTAAGCTAATGAAGGTAATTTTAATATTTTTTACGGTAATTTTTAGGATGCCATGTCAAATCAATTTCTTTTATATTCATCGGTCCTTCAACCGATTTTCGAAACTACAAAGTGCAAAAATAAAATACATCAATATCTCAAGAGCATATTTAAAAATTATGTGTTTTATTACAAAAAGGAATATTTTACAAATAAAAAATAAAAAAAATCTTTTATCTATTTTGTTATCAAGTTATTTCAAATTATATTTTTTAACAAGATTTATTCCAAATATTTTCACCAGTTACAATAAAAGATCCATTAATAGAATAATTCATGCTTCTTTTGGTACGAAAATATAATTTTTAAGTAAGTAATTATATTCTCTTTTTTTTTTTCAACACTTTGTAAGCTAGACATTAGGTTGGAGGGTAAAATAAAATAACAGTTTCTTTTACCCCTAACAAACCTAATGAGTTTTCTAATTTCTTGTTTCTTTCGGCGCGCCATTTTTCACCAATTTAAGTGATTCCAGACCTAATCAACCTTTCTTCTCCGCCCTTGCTTCTTCTCTAATTTTGTTCGGCCCAATCAAATATCTTGTGTAATTCATTGTAAACTTCTCATCTTCCGCAATAGTTTTAGAGTCGAAAAGTAGATCTCATAAATCAAAGATTTTTCTTTTTTAATTTTCTTTTCCTGTTTTTGTAACATTCAGTAGATTTCATGTTATTTATGAAATTATACATGTGTAATATGTCGATTTGTTCCAGTAAAATAGAAATTTGCGTTTGTGCGTCAGATTAGCCATTGCTGAGTTTTTTTTTCTTTGTTGAATTTGATTTTTCTTTTATTCTTTTGCCACATTTTCAGAAAGTTTCGGGATTCCGATATTTCCGATATTTCTGAAATTTCCAATTATTTCGGAATCGGATCTCATTCTCAGATTCCAAAATTTTCGGAATTGAAATCGGAATCGAAATGCATAATTATGTTCCGAAAAAATTAGAAGTTTTCCGAAAACTCTATATCCGATCTGATTCCTCCGATTTCTACCCCTAACCACAGTAATATTATGAAAGTTGACGGTAAAAACTAATATGACTATCAAGTATAGTAATATTAAAATATTGGACAGTAATATTATTATGTTGACCCCTCAACAGGGGCGGATTATTATGTTGACCACCCTAAATTTTGAAATAGAGTTTGGTACACTGGTAAAGATGTCTAAATAAGTTAGATGAGGTCGTGAGTTTGAATTTGGCAGGATACAAAAATACTGTTTCTTTTTTTTTTCTCTTTTTTTTTGCCTCCTTTAATTTTTTTTTCCAGTCCTCTACCTTTCTTTTTCTGGCAATTAATTTTTTCTAGCCTCTCTCGAGTCTCGACTAAACCAAATACTATTTTTTTCTCACTTCAATACCAACATAAAAAATAAAAAAATAAAAAGATAATAAATAGGTAATGATATTGTCACCCTTAATGAAAATCAATATCACACACAAAATTTGTGTGGTATTGATTGTATTAAGGGTATTAATGCCATTACCTATTTATTATCTATTTTTCATGTTGGTGGTATTGAAGTGAGAAAGAAACGGTATTTGTTTTAGCCGTCCCCTTAATTTTTTTTAGCCAATCTCCCTTTTTTTGCCTCAACTACCCTCTCCCTTTTTTTTTTGCCTCAATTAATTTTTTTAGCCCCTCTCTCTTTGTTTTCCTCTCAACTAATTTTTTTTTCAGCCCCTCTTCCAAAATGCAGAAAATTTTAGTTCATTTTTATTTTGCCTTGATTAATTTTCTTTCAGCCCCTCTCCCAAAAAACGTGCCTCTCCCAAATCTGAACCGTAAATCTTTTTTTTTTTTCAAGTCATGAGTAAGAGGAGAATGTATTTTTGCTTGAATTAGAAATAGTTTTCAATATGAATTGTAATTGAAACATTGGTATTTTTTGCTATGTCATACTCGAATATTTAATTTTTTTTTTCTATGCGGCATACCCTGGATTTTTATCTCGGATCCACCACTGCCCTCAATAAAGCAAACAAAAAAAAATATTGCTGTGGTTGATAGTATTATTATTGTCAACCACAGTAATATTAGTGAGGTTGACAGTAATGATTGTCAACCACAAAATTATTACAATACTAGACAATAATATTATTACGTTGATCGGTCAACAAAGCGAACAAAATAAAAAATCCAACAAAAATAATAATATTGATGTGGTTGACAATAATATTAATGATACATTAATTTTATTGTCCACCACAGTAATATTACTATCATAACAACTCTATTGGTTTGAGGTCTTTTCAGAAAATTCAACAACAAAATCAAGTGGATTTGGTCCAGATTGAACAATATCATACCTAGGACTGAGACTGGATTGGGTCGGTAAATTATCGCCTTAAAAATTGACCCATTCGATAAAACGAGCAAGGCTGTAAGACTCTTTCAAATTCGAAGTAGCATTAGGAGGGCATGTGTAAGCCGTTTTAAGAGTCATGGGACTCACGAGCCAAAAGGTCTCCGGGTTGACAATTAACTGATTGCCCATTTTTCAAAACCACAGGGATATAATGCGCTTTTAGCGTTTCCTTCATCTAGAAATGAGATCATAAACCAATTTTGCTCAAATTTGACAAACAATTGTCGATCCAATCTTTTTGGGTCGATTGATGGTTGGCTATCGTATTTGATTTCGAAATGGGTCGGTTGATTGGTAGATTCGCCACCTAATTTACTTTAAAAAAATAAATTTTTGGAGAACAAAAATGCATATGATGCCTAGTGCAACTAGCCACGATAATTTATCAGTTCAAAATAGTTAATAGCAAGTCCACAAAAAATATAATTCTGAAAGTCAAACTAATTCTAAATATGAACATTCCCAATTTATGGTGGAAGATTTATGTCTAACTTTTTTTCCTTGTTGATTTTTTTGTCTAATTTAAAATCCTAACTATTTTGATGATCCCATATCCACTTAAAAAAAAGGGGTTATTAGTGAGCCTCTAGCCTTTTTTTAGTGAGGATGGGTCCGGTCACTTTTGTTTTATTAGTGGTAGACCCATCCATTGCTTTATTACAAATTTACCCTTCTCCCTTTCACTATACATTACCTACTTTGATACTATTTTCATTTTTTATATTTTAATTTAATTTTTGTTTTTTTATTTATTTTTTATTTAAAAAATAATAATTAAAAAAAACTGTATTTTTAAGTTTTTTTAATATTTTTAATATATTTTTTGTTATATTTTTTAATCTTCACCTAAAACAACTAAACATCAGTTTGATTGTTTATTAAATCAACTATATATTAACTATATTATTTCTATTGTAAAATTAACTAGTTATTTAATCAAGGCATCTCCAACAACTCTTATTTATCAAAAATCAACTCTATGTTAAATCAACTATTCAATAAAACAACTAAAATAAATAGCATAATATGTAATCAATAAAAAATTGATGAAAACAACAAAAAACGTCATCTTCCCCAGCCAAATCCTAACGTAAATAATCTAAAAAAATTAAGAAAAGAGAGAGAGAAAAACTTCAAGATTTGAAGCAAATGGTCGATCTTCATTCTGAAATCAATGAGATTATTGTCAATCAACGGATCTTTATTGATAAGAATCATCCACATTGTCACTCAAATCACGAAAAAAGAAGAGGAAATTTTACGTCTGAGATTTTTTCATCATGGGGCTGATATATAGAGGCTTCTGGAGGCGGGGGACTGATAAGTGTTCGTTTTACACGATTACTTATCGAATCTTTGAGTTTTGGTCTTCGTTCGCCCGAGTTTCGGCTTTATTTGTACATACTACGCGTTTCTTATTTTATTTTTATTTCTAGGTTTTGTTAGCTATTTTTGCCGAGTCGAAGCCATTTGAAAGCGAAACTGATTTTTCAAGCCAAATTTAGTGGCCCAGAAGACCCATATCGCAATACAAGGTATGTGTATCGCGATCTGGGGATGTCACAGAAGAATTGCTGATCAAGACCGAGATCGCGATCCAACACTCCGTATCGCAATTTGGGGGTTCTTACAGAAGGCTTTTCGATCCAGACCCAGATCGTGATCCAGCACTCCGTATCGCGATCTGCGGGTTGTCACAGTAACCTTTTTACTCAAGATCCAAATCGCGATCCAACACTCCGTATCGTGATCTGGGGGGTCTCACAGTGTAGTTTTGCTTCAGACCCACAACTGCGGATCGCGATCTGGCATGGCGGTGGGCAGTTCCCTAAGGCTGCCAGATCGCGATCCAGCCATTCCGTATCGCGATCTGGGCACTATTTTTCAGAGAATATATTTTTTGCAAAGCTTCTTGAGAAAGCTTTGCATTAACTATAAATAGGAAGGCCCTTTCATTATTCATTCTTCTTCAACTTTTTACGGTTTTCGACAGTTCTTCGCGGGAATCTTCAACGGGGGTTTCGACTTGGGTTTTTCTCAATTTCTTTACATTTTGTTCTTCATTTCTTGTGTACATTCTTTTGAAACTATGTTTATTATGAACTAAGAACATTTTCTTCTAGGGTAATGCAACCTTGTATATATTGATTTCGATCTCCGTTTCTGTTATCTATTTGTCGTGTTTTGATTTCGTTTATGTTTTCCTGTATTAAATGCTTCTGATTGATTGATCATCTCTTGGATTGATATTAAATAGGAATGAACTCGAGAGATGATTTCTTTTTTGAAGTTAGGAAAACATAGCTCAGGTTGTGGAAACGGAGACATGATGCACCTCGGGTTGCCCTTAAGGACTTGACCTAAATGCTCCCTTAATATCAGGTTCTGAACGGAGACGTCGGACCTGTGGGTAGACTCTAACTACACTGGAGACGGAGGTTAGAGTACTTTAGCGTTAGGGTTAACGAATAGGAATGTGACTTTAGATAACAGTTTTGTAGATCGTTGTTGATTATAAATTGGTGGATCTTGCCCTAGAAGTCCCTTTTAAATCGAAACCCTCCCGTTTAGAGTTGTCGCTATTCTATTTACATATAGTCTATATATTTGCATGTTCTCAACCTTGTTCGTTATTAAGCTAGGGTTTATCACCATTCCAACCATTTACGATCGGCTAGATAATGTAATTACATTACTCAACATGTGAATCTATAGGTCCCTGTGGATCGATATCCGGAACCACTGTTCTACAAAATGCGACACTGTGTACTTGCGGTAATTTATACGTGAGGAAAACGCGTATCAGGGACGGAGATGGCGACGCCAGGAGGAAGTGGAAGCGGAGGAGATGGCGGCGGATTGTGGGGAAGGAAGAGAAATAAAAAAAAAAATGTGATTGATGAGAGAGAGAGTGGGTGGCTGATTTAGAAAATAGTTAGGGTTATCATTATAAGTAGAGGGGTAATATAGATATATCATATATAATTATGTAAAATATTTATTTAATTAAACAACTAGATGGTTTTTAATAATATCACAAAAGGAGATGGATCAATCCTCATATACCCAAATACGTTGGAAGGGGGGAAGGGGTTCACTAAACTCTCCTTAAAAAAATACCACGGCGTTTGTTTTATATTTTTTTTTAATAAAATGTTATCAATGTAGTTGTTTGACGATAATTATCAGTAAACTGAATTTTGACAATATCAGAAACCATCAATTGACCTCTTATAGCTGGGTTGGTAAAAAAATTCACCCGATCCAATGGGCTGGTTAAAAATTTATTATCAATAACCTGAAAATATATTATATAATGGGTCGATTGCTAGGTAAAAATCAACCCAGTTCCAGTCATAATCATACCATTGTGGAGTTTATGTTATCACGGTGTCCGTAACAAAGGTGTGTCGAAAAAATATGGTGTGAGCCCCAGGGCGGAAGCGTTGTTGAGTTGCAAATATAGTCCCACGTTGGTTTAATATGTGAATGATTAGCCCTTTATTATAAAGGAATTAACTACCGCGGAGGAGGCAGCCCGATTCTTTTTCAAGAACGTCGTGTATTGGGAACTACCGAGGAGCATTAAAGTTTGAAAATAAATGGACTGCGTTGATGCACGTTTTGCTTCTTATTTAAATAGAAACCCTAGTTCAATTTTTTATTACGAATTGGGTTTTGTTGCCATTCTATTTGGGAACCCCAAATAAAACCAGCTTTAATTTCCATTAGATGCGTCAAATTCTCGAGTCAAGATTTGTATGTGTTTATATGATCGAGTACGAAAAACAACTAGGCTTGTATATACAAGGAT